TTTGTTTATGCATGAAATACTGTATATTGATGCATATTACTTAAAATTTCAATATTACAAGTAAATTATGCATAAGTACAACTTATTAAAACTTCATGTTTGAATTCGTGTAACTAACTGCGGATAAACATAATCAAATAGAGGATAAACATCTCATTTTAAAATATAAAAAATCTTAAATATAATTAGGATAACTATAGAGTTCTAACAAAATAATTAATTATTATCTTTTTAAAAAAATTATATTATTAAATCAAATATAAATTACTCGTTATTGAACCTAAATTAAATTATAATGAAAAAATTAAATTAAAAATTACACAAAAATAGGAATCTTTATTTATATTTTATTTAAAAATAAAAACATTATTTTTTTTAAATCACATAAGATCATATTATAACATCGACTGAGATAACAAATAAAATAAAATATTAAAATCAAGATGTATCTCGTTGCATTACACGAGTACCCTTCTAGTAATTAATTAATGAGTATTCTAAAACAACTTAATATATTAATTGAATAATAATTTAATTTAATATATTAATTAATTTATAAGCTAAGTTAATTAAATAACAAAATTGTATTTTAATGTAATATTAAAAAAATTAACTAACTTAGGCCCAAACTTAATAATTGGAAGTCTTAACCAATTAAATTGGACTCTTTTAATTAATAAGGGAAAACGTAATGGTTGGAAGACTGAAAGTTTAAGGTTAGAATGCTTTTAAAAAGAAAAGGAAAAAAATGAGAAAAAAAGGAAGGTAGGAATCCTATTGTAAGATGATGACACATCAGCGGTCAAAGTTTCTGCTTTATATAAATATATAGATTTGGAAAAAACATTTAGTCCAAAATGCTAAATAGATACCTAACAAGAATATGGACTCTTATCTAATAAAATTTGATGATCCATAACAAAACAAAAACCCAACAGTAGTTGGTCTAAGATACATTAATTCTGGACCCAAGCCCAACTTGAAACCGCACCAAATCCGACCTGAGTTCGGATTTATGACTCGACGTGAGTGTTGCCGCTGGCAACGATCTTTTTCAGGATGTTTGACCTCGACTTTTGACTTTTTTTTCGTTGATTCTTTTTGCTAAAACTCTAGAAAATGATTTTCCTTAACCATAGGAAAAAGAATCAACGAAAACCATCAAGTATTGAGTTTCATTTACTTATTTAAAGTTTAGGTCCTAAATCCACTCGAAAATCAGTAAAAAAACGCAAAATCGGACCTCCAAAACCGAAACCTCAAACATAAAACTACTAAGGTTCCATATAGTACCTAAAAACAAAGTTAACCATATAAAAAACTCGAAATTTGGTTGAGTATTTTACCTCCAATCATCAATAAACGAAGTTTTTCGAACTCAAACTTCAACATCCAATTTCTCTCTCAAAACTCGACAAAATATTGATCGTCTTGAAGCAAAAGTGAAGAGGAAAGTGTTGTGCTATGTATATCTGAAACTTTTTTGTCTTAATAGTTGAAATTTCGAACCAATAGGAAGCTTCAAAGGAGTTGTCGTTTTCAAAATTCTGAAAATAATCAGATATGTTCTTTTGTCATAACAGGTCCCTCATGTATGAGGAATTCACTATTTGACCATGCCTCTAAACTTTCAGAAAATGACTCTAGGCCCCCTAGCTTCATTACTTTGGCCAACTTTACACTTTTCACCTTCAATCAAATGTTTTTTTTTCATTTTTAGTCTGATTGAACAAAAACCCTTTTCTTTTCACTTCTCACTTTCATTAAATGACATGATTGACCCCCTTTCGTGTTTTTCTTCACATTTTGGCCCACGAAAATAAAAACCGATTTTATTTTATTTTCGTTTTTTTATATATTTATTTGTTGACCCCCTTTTTGGAGTGTCACAAAACGTTTCTTGAAATCCATGTTAAGCAGCAGGTCTATGCTAACCTGAAGAAATCATATATGATCACCCAAAACATGTAGTAACAAACTAAAACGCAAAAATAAAAAAAAATACATAGGTTGAATGAAAAAGTAAAACAACATATGATTCATACCCTATTTGGCAACTTGGCCATTTATGTGCCACATTGCACAATCTATATTTTGATTCATTTAACACGATTGGAAATGCTTCTCTAATAACAACATCTTGATTAGTCAAGACGAGCTTCGGTTGAGCACCATGAACTTTTAAATATGCTTCTAGTAACCAATTGTATGATGGAAGGGTTTCATCGTACAAAATGACGTAACCAACAACAACGGAACTCCTATTGTTATTAATAGAAAGAAATGGTACAAACACCATATAACGCCTGCAAAATTAAGTATAGCCAATAACACATTCAAACGATGAATATAACAGGTGAAACAATAAAATAAGAACAAAATTTTACTCGTTTGAACGATACGTGGCATCAAATGATATAACACGACCAAATTCCGAATAGTTAAACCTTGAGAGCTCATCAGGCTAAGATATACCTTGAAGTTTTCTTTTAGATACTTTAAACTCGAAAGCGAAGTTTGTCCCATTTAACACACACTCATTAAACATGTTTACTACCATTTGAACATCACCATTACCAACAAAAGAATCTAAATCTATTTTAGAATCTTTTTATGGTCACTCCTACTACAGCCACTTCCTCATAACCACCCTTCAAACAAACTTGTATTCGGTGCGCCTTGGATGCCCCAATATTTGCCCTTGTTGCACGATGTACAATCTTTTTATCTGAAAAGTTCATTTGCCTTCTACTTTGAGATAGCATTCTGTCATTCTCGTCTAACAATTTTTGATTGTGATTGGGATAGAAATAATATAACTTAAACTGTATCGTACCGTTAGCCATATGAAATCTAACCTGTTCTTTGCAACCAATAACTTTGAAATTGGAGTTATGAAGCACCTTTTGGTGTTCACCAACATTCGTGCTATCAATAGACCGTTTGTTAGGAACTCCATATCTACGACATACCAGATATTTCAACCTCACAAATTTGTTCTTAAAAGTGTTTTCGTAGAGCGCCTTATATCAAAGATGGCATAATTTGCATACTTCCTATACATATGGATGCAATGTCCAACAACAACCAATGTAACTCCTTCTAGGACATTCAGTATCACAGTTATGGATGCACTATATCTATCCTTCTTTGATACAGTCGAGCCTCCAATTTTGTCCATCATCTTAGAAGTGACTGCATAACAATTGATATTCACTGTGTATGAACTACATAATCACATGTGATGGCACATGAAAATTATAAAAATCATAACTGTTACAAACAACATAACATGTGATTTTAAGACTACTATCTATAAAAAATATCATATATACAATTGCACACACAAAAAAACTCATATATTTAGATAAAACATGATAATGCAATAAATCTTAAAACCTAATCACATGTGATATCATATAGAAATATAATGATGATTACTGATACAAACAAAATTACATGTGATCTTATAACTACTTTCATCTAAAAAAAACTTCACAACTTCACTAGGAGTAGATGATATTTACCCATCACTCATAAAATCACAAGTGATTGATTTCATGTCTGGAAATGGAATCAATAAATAGATGTAAAATAAAACCGTTACGTAGTCAACCTACCAATTAACATCAAACAAATCAAATAAGTTAACAACCAGAATCGATAAGATGAACAAAAAAGTAAAGTAAAATAAATGTTACCCTCGACTCCATTATTGTACTATGAAATGAATCAACATCCTTGCTATTAATGGGTAATTTTGACCTATTAGCTTGATTTGATGAATCAATTGCAAAATCGGGGTTGGTTTCAACTCTAAATTCGCTGTTAATAGGGATTTCAAACCTATTACATTGCTTAGATGGACCAAATGGAGAATCTGACTTCATCTCTGACTTCGACTCTATTGATCTCAATCGGTGATTCCATAAAAAACACGTAGATTGAAAGGAAAATTTGGTAATTCATCATTGTTAGCTTCAAAAGAGTGAACGCCTTCGTAAGCAGTTGATCCCGATATGAAAAGGACATGTATAGTCTGCAAAAATAATGAAACAGTTAATATGACCGATATACCATTTAAGTATTTTCTTAATAATTTAATTTTTTAAATTTGATCACCCAAATGATTGGTTAAAAATTGTCCTCTTATTTTCTTAAAATGTTATGGTTCTCGCATGAACCTTTATATATATATATATATATATATATATATATATGATTAAGTTTTGGTGAGAAATGTAAGAAATGATCTTTGCCATTGGATGCATATTACAATGAGATGCACTAGATCAATCATCGTATCAAACACGATTCATGAGTGAATTTGATATAAAATATGATCAAGATGAAGATCTCTTCTTACACTTCTCACACGATTCTTCATTTATATATATATAATCTAAATATCGTACATAATAAAAATAGTGTATATTCATTAGTTTTGTGAATTGTATATGGTCAAAACAAAAAAGAATATGATTATTTAGAAAAAAAAAAAAGAGTGGGTAAATATTTAACTAGATCCGGCCCAATAACCTCTCCCATCCGTTTGTCACTTATCTTCCCCCCAACCCCATCCAAAATCAAAACCCCACATACATACATACATACATACAGTTAGAAAGCGATCCCTCGAGTACCGTGAAGCGCATATTATTTTGCGTTCCAAATTGCTGTAAATCACCAATTTTCATAATTCCACCCTTTCCATCAATTTAATTATATTCAAAATAATATTAATATTAAGAAAAGAGGTCATAAAATGCTGTAATTAAAGTATTTTTAATTATTAAATACTATATTCATTAAGCATTCCGCTGTTATATTTTTCAGAAATATGTTTTGGATTAAGATTTTATTTTTGTTTATTTATACCAAAACTGAATGAGTATGGGTAATTGATTCAGACATTCTTAAGATTACTAAAATTCCTAATCGCTTAAAATACGCGAGTCGGGAAATTGGGAAAAGAGGGAAACTTATTGCAACCAAAGATTTGAGAAAGAGAGAGAGAAAGACAGAGAGAAAAAGAGTGGTGTTGCTCGTCGGACTATCTTCTCCTCCACCCCCATCTCCATCTGCACAATTTCTTCCCAAAAGCAGCAAATTTCCCTCACTTTTCACCATTTTCAGTTATTAGGGGTTTGCCAAAGGAAGAATTAATCAATGTCGAACAACAGGTGGAACTGGGAGGTGAGCGGTTTTGAGCCCAGGAAATCTCCGACGGACCAACCACCGTCTGCTCCTGCTCCTGTTGTTCGGAGATACTCGATCTCTACTCCATCAATTCTACCACATTCCGAACTCATTTCTAAGCACTCTATTGCGACCAAGCTTCATAATTTGAAGGATAAAGTCAAGGTATATATATATCTATATCTATCTATCAACTCATATGTTTACTCATCACTAATTTGATTTTCCATTTAATACCAGTGTGTTTAAACGGAGGGACTATTCTATTCCTATTCAATCATTATAATGTGTCACGGTTTTTACTCTCTAACTATAAAGTGCTGTGTTATTGAGTGTTTGAATGGCTGGATTAGACCTGTTTAAGTATTTTCAAGTTTGTAACGGAGAAGTGGTATGAAATTTTGTTTTTCTTTCTGATCATGGGCCTAGATTTAGAAACTTGTTCTGAGACTGAGTTGTTATTAGTGTCTACTACCTTGTTTGTAATGTGAACATCTTATGTGAAACTCTGCTAGATTAGCGCAATGTAATTTGACTTTGATGAATCAAACAACTTGGCACACTTGTTATGGGGAAATAGGACATCTTGGCAAGTGTACCAGATATTCACTGAATCCAGCATAATTATTTATTGGTATCTATAAATATCAAGTCTGAACAAGACTTTAGATGGAAAAATCTACAAAAATCCAAGAATTTTCGACCCTAAGGTTCTACAAGTTTCAAGTGTACCAGATATTCACTGGTGTACTGCAAAGCTATATGACATACTCACGGATCTATCTGGTTCTCATGTTATTGTTGCTTAAAATTGTTGATTGTATGATAGTGACTATATACAACTATAGCAAGCAACAGCTGCTTGGTGTCTAGTAGAGATGTCTGCACTGATGAATCTAGTGCAGCAATAAATGCTGTTGGACGAGGTGGATATGTTACAATAAGAAGTAATTTATATGTACAACGTGGACACTTACAAATAAGAGTAAAATAACTTTGATATGGTGTTATTGCCATGCAAGCTTAACTGATCACATCTTATGGTATTTTTTAACCTTCACCTTTCTTCTATCTCTACGACTTCTTTTCTAGGAAAGCTTTCGCACGGAAATTTTGTTCTATGTTATGTTTCTATGTGGTCATGCTAGGTAGCTTTCAGTAGGTCCATGATGAAGCCATGTTATCAAGTTGAGCTATGTGCCTTCTTGGATGTGCTATGCTGGTTGTTACCTTGTCTTTTTTTTTATCAGCTAGGAAGGGATATTTAATCACTCGCTTACTAGTTGTTTAATTGATGTTCACAAGAGAACACATTTACTTATATTTTAATGGTTATTAAACATGATTGCATGTTGATTTTTTATTCTGAACTGCTGATCTTTATATACTTAATTATGTTTTTGTGACACATTCTTGAAAGTCTGAGCACCATAAGTGGACAAAAAGTTGTTACACTTGTGTTTAATATAGCCTAAATGTGTTTTGCAAAAACAAACTAGGGTTTCCGGCTAAATTGATCACCAAGATAATTTTGATGGTGCACCATGTTCTGTGAAGTGTTGGAAATACCATAATGCTATTTTACTTTGAGTTAGAGTGCGGATTCTAAAATGTGAACGGGAGGTCCAGTCTATATGCAAAGCCTTTATTAAAAAATGGGGCCAAGAAACCTTCTACCTCTAACCACATATCAAGAACTTAAATGCAATATATGAAGATATGATAATACATTATGCTGAGATAAACCTTCATCTCAAGAAGATCCATTGAGAAATATTCATTCTTGATATTAGATCTCAAAATTAATCCAATAGCATGGAAGTAGCCATGAGCATTGAGATGGGACTTCCCCCACCCTCCCCCCCCGGGGGGTGACAAACGGAGCTGTTTGGATGGGGCTTGATAGTGAGTGCTCATTTGAAATCAACAGATTGCTTTCCAGGAAGAAGAGCCTTCAGAGCCCATTTGTTATTGCTTTATAAGTTATACCATATAGCGATCCAGATGCTCATGTGCCTCTTGTCACATTTTTGGGAATGGGAAAACATTCAACTAGTATTATGTAACTCTAGAATTTTCTTTGTTCACATATGTCAATAATAGTTGGAAGAAGGATTTCTTGGAATGGGATAACCAAATATGATCACAAAGCTTCTTGGTGGTAGAAGGCAACTGATGGCAGTGTATAGTACATCAGGTTTCATGGCATTTCACAATGCATAGTAGATGCCACTATCATCATCCCCTGGTCATCAGTTGCTATGTTGGGCGGAACCTTAGTCAAATGACTGATCTTCTGACACATTCTTGGCCACTAACTTAAACATAAAGTAGTTAACTCGATTAGGATAATACCAATAGGGATAGGAAATTTAATAGGGGACTGTGATGACTCTCATCAATTCTTCATTGGACATAATTCCAGAAAACAAATTGGAAATGCAACAATACAGTGACTGGTGGACATTAAGAAGGATGAGCAGAGAGAATCTGGAGACAGATTCCAGGTGATCAGGGATTATGTAACAGTTCCGACCCTTAGAAGGATAAGGTTATCCTAAAGAAGGGCAGCTACATCAAAATAATGGACCAAGGAGGTCCGTGGCTAGTCTAATGGTGGCTTGAACATGCAGAGATGGTTGCCAGAGTAGGCAAGGGGGTGGCAACAGAGCTGTTAGATGTGACCATGCCAGGGTCCGACCATGCCTAGTCTATGGGGTGCCCCTGGGGCTGGAAGCTTTGGACAGAAAGCTGATGACGGCAGAAAGTTAGGACAGCAGGTGAGAGGCCTGTCAGAGGTCAGAACACCAGTGACTGACCTCGTAAGGGTTCTCATGGTGGTGGAAGGTAGAACAACTGCTGTTTGAATTGCTGATGGCCATGGCATTGGCAACAGTGCTACTGCTGTTTACTGGGTGCGTGGGTTTTACTCTTAGATCATACCTCTTTACCATGTAAATACCGGGGTTATAACATAATTCATACTGTTGAGGGGAGAACCTTGAATATAGTATGCAGACTGGACCTGGATAAGTAAATCAAATTACTATATCTAACATCAACTGCATACTAAAACCTTGAAAGGTAAGTAATTGTGGCAGTGAGTGATTTGATAGTACTGCTGGTCACAGGGTAGATAAGATGTACTACAATAGTATCCGCTTAATTTTTATAAAAGTTCAACAATTCACTGTTTGCTTATTAGGATATTTATGATCGAGAAATTAGGGAACTTCTTGTTATTCTTCTTTGGTAAATGGTACTCGTTTATATATGTATTGATTCAGCTGATCATTACAGATAGCCAACAAACAAGATAGGTTGATGAATTTAACAATTGGGGCAATCTAGCTTTCCAAGATAGTAAATGCCCAAGAGGTGTGAGCAAATCATTAAAGGCTGCATCAGGATTTGCATGCTATATATGTATGAAAGTAAATTTTCGTGTTCTGTAGCTGGTTGTGCTGTAAAATTGTTATGTAGTAATTGAATTATTTTTGTAGTCGTGTCTTTTGACGTCAGCCAAATTACTATACTACATTGACAGCATGCAAGAGAAGATTATGCAGAATTGAGACAAGAAGCCATTGATCTCCAGGAGTACTCTAATGCAAAACTTGATCGAGTAACACGATATCTAGGTGTTCTTGCTGATAAGACCCGTAAGCTAGGTATGAATAACATTTTGCTTCACATTCTGCATTTTATTGCAGAAGATTAGTACTCTGTAAATGTGTATTTGAGTTTGATCTCTTCTCTACATTAATTACGATCCTGGTATGATCTGTAACTTCTGCTTTCACACGCATGAACTTTAAGACTAGACAGATCTATGGACGTGATAGAATTGTGTTTGAAATATTATTGTTGGTGTCTTCTTACCTCTTTAGTATATATTTCTAGAGTTCATATTGAATTGCAGTCAAGTGTTCTCAAAGGTCATAAGCTAACATGTCATTTTTCTTAGTTCCTCTGCTCTGTTTTTACCTTATACTTTTATACTGATGGCTTGATTCTAGTTCAAATTCACAAACCTATTTCTTTCTCTTACTTGTTTGTCATGCTCCCATCCTTAGATTCACATATGAGTGGAAAGGAATAGAATCACATCAGATGGGTGAGGAGGGGACCACTTCAGGGGCTATAAAGGCTGTTAGTCATTCACTTATAGAGGGGTAAAGTGGGTAATTTGTCTGTTTTCGCTAGTATAAAGAATAGGGCAGTAGCCATAGTAGGGTATCCAGAATATTAGCCTTCTCATATAGGAGAGACTAGCCTCTTGAATTGCTAGAAGTTCCATTCGTTGTCATTATTGTTGTTCTCTGTTCATTTGGTACAAGTGACTACAATTTGGACAAGCATTATCTTTCTATTACTGTATTTGTTTCACCCCTGTTATTCATTTCATAACATTATTCTCTTGAATTTTGAATTGTTTTCATTCGAGCTGATACATGGTACACATCAATAATTGTATTGATTTCAGATCAGGCTGCTCTTGAAGCTGAAGCTAAAGTTGCCCCACTTATAAATGAGAAGAAAAGGTTGTATAATGAATTATTGACTGCCAAAGGTAATGCTTTCTTAACGTCTAGAGAATCTTCTATGGGATGTATTCTCATGTACATCAATTTTCTTCAAGATATGAATAAACACAGTTATTAATCCAACCGTCTCTAGATAACTAGATTATCTCAATGTTTACACTATACTGAGAAACTTACTTTAGGTGTGAGATATTTTCTTAATTGTATCTTCATTTAAAGCAATTCTAACACAATGTGGAAAGGTGATAAGAGACGGTGATCTTTCATGATAATTGTCAAATAGTGGTCCAGAATGGGTTTTGAATTATCAATAATGGTAAATAGTCGTTTTCCTATAAGTTTTTGAAGGTGGAATTTTATTAACTAGAGGGAAAGTGAGGAAGAATACTTGCACAGATTAATATTATCTTTTGGGCCGCTGCATCCTGGTGCATCTTCGTATTTTTTTCATCTGAAAGCTTCATCCATAATTTCAGGAAACATAAAGGTCTTTTGTCGAACAAGACCACTTTTTGAGGATGAAGGCCCATCTGTTGTTGAATATCCTGATGATTTTACTATACGAGTCAATACTGGTGATGACACTGTCTCCAACCCAAAGAAGGATTATGAATTTGACAGGGTTTATGGACCACATGTTGGACAAGGTTTGCCACACTCTCTCAAATGGGTTTTGATGATAACTTGTATAACTTGTGGTTTCTGTTGTTTAAATAACATATTACATCTTTGGGTTGGCAGCTGAAGTTTTCACAGATGTTCAACCATTTGTTCAGTCCGCTTTGGATGGTCATAATGTATCAATATTTGCTTATGGGCAAACATGTTCAGGAAAGACACATACGATGGTCCGTTCACTGTCTCTCAATCCATGCATGTGTTTGTGATTTATATTTGAAATTTAACATCGTTATGTGTCGATAAAACTGTTAAGCTATTGAAGTCTTCACCACCTAAATTTCATTATATGGTAAACTAAGTTTATATACCTTAGAATTCAATATATATTCATGTTAAATGCTGGTTATGATGTAAAGGGCAACTTGTTTGATGTATTCCACTTTTGATTTGACTTATTCTTTTGCAGGAAGGTTCTAGCCATGATCGTGGTTTATATGCCAGATGCTTCGAAGAGTTGTTTGATGTGTCCAACTCAGATATAACTTCAACTTCTCGATTTAATTTTTTCGTAACGGCTGTTGAGCTACATAATGAGCAGGTTACTTTTTACATAATTACTTCCTTGATCATCTAAACATACACATAAATACACCTAACCATTGAACCTCACATCTTCGTTACTTCTGCCTTGTTAAGGGTTCTAACTGTAACCTGTTCTGTTTTGATGGTTATTTCCTGTTTTATAGATGATCGATTTGCTTTCTAAGTCAGAGAGTGGTCTACCAAAGGTCTGGATGGGGCTACTTGATTCTGTTATAGATCTTGTACAGGAGAAGGTTGACAATCCACTAGATTTCTCCAGAGTCGTAAAGAAGGCACTTCTAAGTAGAAGTGGTGACAAAACCAAGATCAATGTTTCTCATTTGTATGTGTTTAATTCTGTCGACTTACTTCTCATTAATTTGTTTTGATCCATTTGAGTTTTGAAGTTTTATACAGTATCATACTTTCATGTTAAAGCAAGAGCATCTGCTGTAACTCTGGATCATATAATCAGGATAGAAACATGTGTTCTCTAGTTGAGGTTTTCTTCTTATGAATGTGCTAGATGTCCTTTTGTGATCACATTGCTTGTATCCTCTATCCTAAGTCCACATATAGGCACCTGATTCAACATTTAGTGTCCTTTATAATGTCAGAACCCCTCACTTTTGTTAGGTGTTTGACATTGGATGTCCCTTACTCATGATAGAAATATTCTTTTTGCATTTACAGTACTTTTAACGATTTGAAAATATATTAAAGCATGCCAAAGGGTCCCATCTATCTTGAGAAAGGTGCTCAAGCCTCCAGCATTAGTTAAAATACAGTGGCACATGTTAAGCCTACTTTATTAGCAAAGTAGGAAACTAGTTAGATTTTAGTATCAGCATCTTGATTTATGCATTCATACTGTTAATTAACTGGCGAATTTAGAACATACATAGAAACAATACAAACTAACAATATTGTTTATGATGATGAGAAAAAGTTTATGCTCCTGAAAATTGATGGCACCGCTAGATGTTAAGTATTATAAATGAAACTACCAATATCACATTCTATAGTCATATCGTATGTAGAAAAGATACTAGAGGTTTTAATAACAACAGAAAAAAATGAAAAATAAAGTGTCATTGTTTTTTGATCTAGAGATTAATACTGTAACCCTGTGGTGCTGTACAGAGAATTCTCAAATTGAGAATAACGACCTATTATCAAGCATCCTGATATCAATAGTAGTTAACACATTTAGAATTAAAGTGGCCAGGAAAGCACATATAATTATAGAGTAAAAAAAGGATTTATAGAATGACATGGACCTGTGAGTTGAGACTAGAGAAAACAAAAAGGAGCAAACATGTATATATAGACTACTACTAAAAGTCATCGCAGTTGATGCATATATATGACCATGCTTACTCATTACCGACACGATCACTCTCAACCTTCCAAAGAGGCTTTGTCAAGAATCTACAAGATGCAAAGCTGAAGGAAAATAAAAAAACTTAATAGGAAGGTCTGAAGAGGTGTCAACCACCTCATGCATGATGCACCTAGAGACAATCTCTTAGACATGTTTTGTGCCTTCGATATATCTATTTCATTCAGATGTGTCTGGTTGTATCATTATCAAGATACATGTTCATCAACCTTGGCATAGATTTGCCTGATTGTTGAATCTAAATAATGAGCACAAGTTAACTCACATGATATATTGGTGATGATCTTGTAGCTTAACTCGGTATTAGGGTGAGAAGCTATGTTAAGTTCCTGCTGGTCCATATTACTAGTTTCTCTCTAGCAACACACAATACCTAAACCTCTATTAACATTCAGCATGGGTATCATCATAACACCATTTAATCCTACCATGTTCTTGATGTGGCTGATTATTATAAGAGGATCAATGTAGCACTTCCTGAGCTGAAGAGCCTATGGTGGTTCAAGTTCTTTGATGAAGTATGATAATTGATATATATGGCCCTACACCTTATATCCACCCAAACATATACAACAATTAGAAACTCAGTTAAGATTCATAGTGGCTCTAACTCACTTATAAAACAATGTCTGCAGCTTATAAAAAAATGATGCATGAATCTAACAATGAAATAAGTGCTACTGTTATTAAGTCTTTCTTTGGTATAATAAATTAAATATATTCTTGTTATTTCAATTTTGAAAAATTATAACTCTGAATTCTAAAAAAAGTGGGTTTCTTGGGAAAGGGGGAGTATTATTTCTTGAAGAAAAAGAATACTACAATACTACTGGTATAAGAAACAGCCTTAAGGGTTTGGATTAGCCCATAAACACGTTTTCACTAGGTAATTGAACAAACGTTTTAGGGAAGATCACAAGATATATTGGGACATGCTTCTTTGAATTGAAACTCAAATGTTGAAACACCAAGACAAAGCTGTGAAATCAACCGTCAAATTGTACCCATAAAGGAGATGTTGTTCTAGCTTGGTACTTGCTGATCTAAGCATACTCCCAACGAAAATTTATCGTTTGATAGCACCAAAAGAATCCTATTTGACAAACACTTGATCTACTTGTTTATCCTTAAGGAAACATTAATAACTCTATCCTCTGTATTTGCTCCATAAGAACAGAGAGAGAAATGTAAGTGCATGATTGGAACCTTCAACTATTTTGAATTGAACTTAAACATCAAAACAAGAACTTGTGGCTTGTACTTTTTTGCATCACTATGCTAGGTAGTAAGGAGATACCTATTATGGTAACAAAAAGAATACATGGATAGTAATTTTATAATCAATAAAATTATTCTTGTTGGTACAAGTCACTCAAATTGTAATATTAAAAGATGGTAAATTCTTGGTACTGATATACATGCCCTAGAAGCTGTGCATCTGTTCTCTTTTGTGTGTTTGTTAGGCATGTCTGCTCTTTGTGTAATGTATGTTTGTGCTAAAATTACATACCAAACATGGAGGGAGACTCTGTTGCTGGAGATGTTGCCAATTTTGTTGCTGAGGAGATGGTGCCATGGGTGTTGCTGGAGAAGGACATAATGCTTCTTTGTTATGTGTGGCAGTGTTCATTTGTCTGAGAATGCAATAAGGCTTTGATGGATTGGGGATAAAACCTGAAACTTGCAATGGTGTTAGTGATGGCCTCAGTTGCAATTCCACTTTTAATTTTAAAACGGTTTCACTTAGGTATGCGATGACTATTGTGGGGACACTGCTTCCCTCACAAAGTTCTAGTGACAATTACCGAAGGTCTTTGGTTGGAAAAGAGGCCCTAAGGTCCCTGTCAAATTTCCACATTAAATTTGAAGTATAACGGCAGACTATCAGCAAGTAAGGACAAACTATCACAGACTATGATCGGAAACGTTGTAAATTGCATGGTCTTTTCATCTGCATTTGTTAGCATGTTTGCAATCCAACTATATAAGACAGCTAAGGAGGCCTGCTTTTGTTGCTTCTGCACATCTAACATCCCCTTTTATCTTCTTCTGTCCTGAGGATTGTTCTCTGAGATCTAAAATTAGTCAATATTTTGATAAGTTCTTGGCTCATATTCTACTAAATTTAATGGGTTGATAAAAAACTGTACTAGAGATGTGTAGCTGCTATATTGCCATGGCATGGCTTTTATGAGACGGCAGAATTTACAATTCTATTCTGGTCCTTGTCGCTTCTATTACCCATTACTCATGACCATATAAATTTTCTGAAATGGGATTTTGGGTTCTTTACTTACCTTGTGATATATCAAAACGCATCACTTTGTTTTATGGACACTAAAATTGTGTTGTGTTAAAGCATTTGTGTAACAGCTTATCTAGTAAGTGTGTTATTATCTACCTTGTACTTCTTCCATCTTGTATATTTATCACTCTTTCTAATTCATTACATATTCATTCCAAAGAAAAAGAACTTGAAAAGCTTTGCTTTGCTATTTTTGCGCAGGATAATCACCATACATATATATTATGACAATTTGGTTACTGGCGAAAATTTATATAGCAAGCTTTCTCTTGTTGACTTGGCTGGAAGTGAAAGCTTACGTTTGGAAGATAATAATGGGGAGCAGACAACAGACATGCTACATGTGATGAAATCACTTTCTGCGTATGTAATTTCTTTATGTTGTTAAGTTTGAATAAGATGTGTAGCTTCTTGGTCGAGTACTATGAATCCCAGTACTGTATTTTTTTTAGCTAGTAGTAACTCCAGATTGTTGTGGGTAGCAATTTTTTATAGTTACTGGATTACTGAATCATGAATAGAATTGATGAAAAACTATAAAAAAACGTGGGTGTATTTGAATTTGAAGGACAACATCTGCACTTGGTTTCTATAAATTGTTGTGATATAATTACTGTTGTTCCATAAATTACATAGGCTGTGGGCTTGTAACCAATAGACCTGAGTGTTTGTTTGCCGAATGAATAAAAAGATAGATGAATGGCAGTTTGAGAGATTGGTTATATCACTTCTTGTACCTGCCAGTCTTACTTCCTAACTATGTATGTGTAGGTTGGGAGATGTATTAGCTTCCTTGACATCGAAGAAAGAAGCTGTTCCTTATGAGAACTCGATGCTTACAAAAGCCCTTGCTGATTCACTTGGTACTCATGAAAAAGTTAAATGCTTTCTTATTTGATCAGATTTGTTGTTTGCCGAGTTTGTTTATTTGCTTCTTGAGCATGTGTTTTTCTTAAATTACGAGGGAAATTGTTATTGCTTGACGTAATTTCAGGGTGTAGGGGCATGGGTGGACTTGCCAATTCATGGTAGAAAAAGGCTCAAACATCTCCCCGAACATCAATATTAATTCACCCAAACAGTTTATGTGCTGATTCTTTTGATTATCACATGTATACTATTGATGTTCTTTTTGCATTCGTATTTTGATGCCAGTTCTTGGGAGTGCTGGAGCAGTTTCACAACGGAATTCTTAATAACAAGACAAATAAAATTTCAGATAATATTTGTGTGCTTTTCGTCATTTTCATGAATAAGTTGGAACTGATTTCCTAATACTGGCATGATTTTCCTGCCAATGAGATTTATCCAATTCTCAGCTATGATGCTGTGATATTCACATTTGGGATTATTTGAGACTGCCGTGATTTTTTAGAAGACTGCCATGAATTGTGTCTTGCATGCTGCCATTGGATATTGTTGCCATCTTGTTAAGACGTAGATATTTACCTCAGGCTTCCATATTAAAACATTGTCTCTCTGTATCTGTCATCACAGGTGGAAGCTCAAAAACCCTGCTCATTGTCAATATATGTCCAGATGTTTCAAATTTGTCCGAGACATTGTCATCTCTGAATTTCTCTGCTAGAGCTCGAAACGCTGTACTTAGTCTTGGAAACCGGGATACCATTAAGAAGTGGAAAGATGTTGTAAGTTGGCAAAGTCTATATTTTTGTAGTCATTTGAATCCTGGAGTAGGTTTTACTCAACATCTTTGCTCTTTCTGCAACTTCAAACATAACAGTTTGAAATAACTTCTACTTACAAAAAAAGATTTCTTTAAAAATAGGAATCCTTTATGATAGAAAATAGATATATTACCACTTGGTTTTTTTTAAACGGAGCCTGGATACTTCAATGTAGTAGTCCAACTAAGCCAACCATAAATTCTTCTAATTGATAATAGTAATTCGAATCCCCCCCAAAAATGGATATAATTGCACTTCACGCTCCAAATTTTTGATGATTCAATTAATCGCTTTCAAAATGGAACATATATTAGAGTTTCTGGTTCATTATTTTAGACCCTGACATGCAACTTCCAAAGCACATAGAAGTTTCATTTTATCCCTCCTCTTCTACCCCCGGCAACCACCCTTATTACTTTCCCGGCGAGAAGTTCTAGTTTACTTTATGCACCATGCTTTTAACTTGCAATCAATTATATAGAATGTACACATATATGTAGAAACCTAAGTTGCATTCCTTATGTAGGCAAATGATGCTCGCAAGGAATTTTATGAGAAAGAAAAAGAAAGTCTTGATCTGAAACAGGAGGTCGTGGGACTAAAACAAGCACTTAAAGGTGCAAATGATCAGTGTGTGCTACTATTCAATGAAGTTCAGAAGGCCTGGAAAGTTTCTTTCACACTGCAGTCAGATTTAAAGGTTTACTTTTTGTTTGGTACACCTTTATGCATATATTTTATTGTACTTCCAAAATGTGTTTCTTTTTCACATAAAGTTCTCTCATTGCTAGTTTTCTCATGCATACAGAAGGCTCAAAGTAGTTAGTTCCTAGGCTTGTGCTAATAAATCACTCGGTTCCCTTTTCGGATATTCAGTTTGCCTTAATTTTCTTGATGAAGAGATGTACCTTGTTTCACATAGGGGACAAGTTTGAACAGTGGTCTTCGCGAGTCGGTTTTTTGTTATAATACTGCTGCTTCTTGAACTCAAATCAAACTGTCCATACTACTCGTCTGACCCAACAAAACATGTAATGAATGAAAGAAAACTAGATGATTCTTCCAGTTATTTTCTTTTTCTTTATTAATTTCTGGTAAACATTAATCATTTGTTATGCCGAAAAAGTTTTTTATTTGCTCAAAAGGGTACAATTTATTTAGTCTGGTGGCCCAGTAAGTAATTGTGACAGCAGAACCATCTTTACATGACAATGTTACATGTTGCTAAGGTGCATTCATTATTGATTTGGTACAGTCAGAGAACATTATGCTTGCTGAAACCCATAAGATAGAGAAGGATCAGAATATCGATCTCAGAAATCAAGTTGCTCAACTACTGCAGCAAGTGCAAGCCCAGAAGTTACAGTTACAGCAACGTGATTCAACAATTGAGTCTTTACAGGTTCGTCATATGCTTTATAGTTTCTAATGTGTTCCATATTTAGCATATTTGACAAAAAATCTTCATGTTGGTGTTGTTTCGTATATATCAAAAGTTGATTTTTTACACATTAGCGTAACTTAGGCATTGGCCCCTGTATAGCTGAAAAGTCATGTTTATTGGTGGTGTCCAATTATTTGTTATATGGTTTGATAATTGGACCCTTAGAAATGTTTCATTGTTAATTTCCATCCATTGTGTAAGATCCCTATATTGGTTATATAATTCAAAACATTTGAAATTCTTTGTTTTGCAACATGAGGTATAAGTTTACTTTATAAGAGCCATTCCATTACTGTATTTCTTTCACTTGCAAAAAAGAATGTGATTTTAGAATCTTGTAGCTGTAGGACTGCCAAAAATATAAAAAGAAAAGAGATGGCTTTGAATATGATAAAGTGGCCTATGTTACGGTTACAGAGGTTCTTAACTGATAATGAAAGATATGATAAGTGCACGAAGACTGCCTTTCAAATGTCATATGTATGGTCCACATTTAGTATGCATCATCAAATAATTTTGCTATTCATCTTAAGATAAGCATATTTCATCTGCTTATGAGCTTTTTGCAATCTTCTGGTGCAGGAAAAACTGCAAAGCGTCGAGGCACAGCTATATGCAGCCCTTCAGTCAAGTGAGAATCAGTCCAAAATCAGCTCAGATTCAACAGGAGAAGGCACAGAATCTGCGACTGTTACTAAAAAACTTGAAGAAGAACTCCTGAAACGTGATGCGCTGATTGAGGTATCTACTATTATGGTTAAGAAAAGACAATAAAGATGCATTAACTATCACACAAAGTAGTTGCTTTGAATGATAGAAAATGAATTAGTGAGGAGAGGTTAGAGAAAATGTGTCGCATGCATTGGATGACGGTCGGAACTTCATGTTATTTACATTCCCAGATAGTTGAAATCAAGGATCATTAATACAGAACAGCCATTGCCTATTAGGTCAGGCCTATGCATCGATCAACATAGGGATTGTGGGGCAATCTAGAAACGACATATTCCAAAGATGAGTACTAGATTGTAAGTCTTGAAAAGATAAGCTTCGGATTGCTACCAATATGGGAGATACCAAAACTAAACCCAATACGAGATGAACTGAGTGCTAATCTCTTGAAGTGAATCAATATGATACTCAGGAAACCTGATAATACTGATACCGGAAGCAATGCTAGTTGTAGCCTTGTAGGGGAGGACAGAAGCTAACCTGGTATGTTATCATTATGGAACAAACGCTTCCATAGCAAAGTACAAATTTTTTCCCTAATAATTTTTAAATGGAGGTAAAAAGTACATATAATCAGCAATTGTCAGAGTTACTTGTTTTGAATAAGGTAATTGTTCTTGTGCATCAAATTACTGGTTGGAATGATCGACAATTGTGTACCGGGTTTGATCTTTTATAACCGTATTACATGAAAGCCCTTGGTAAAGAGGCCATGTTGGATAGATGTCAAAGGAGCTGACAGTATGAGGTCTCTACTACTGTACTTTTTCTAGTTGACTTAAAGTTCACCAAAATATTGTCACTTGTGAGTTGGTCCATGTTGGTTAAGATCTTGTGATATTGGTAAAAAATGATTGTTCAGAGCCTTGATTGTTTTCATTGTGATGGGATTTCATTCTTAGCATACCCAGAGTAAATCAAGGTTTGGCATTGTTTGTCAAAAAGGAACCATTCAGAATCGCATATGCATAGAGAGAATATGCATTGGTTATTTCAATCTCCATCCTTCGATAAATAAGAATATTATTGGAGTATGTTCTTAGGAAGAGATAAAATACTCGTAACCCTGTTAATAGGATTCCTCTACTAACGCAAGACAAACATACTAAATATCTTCGTTACCCAGCGTTTGTTGTTTAACTATTATATATTTCACTATTACAGAATTGCACCACTAGAGTAAGTGTTAAGTTCTTATTCATTTGTGGTTAAATATTTTTTCAGAGGTTGCATGAAGAAAATGAGAAGCTTTTTGAGCGACTGACGGAGAAGGCATCTTCAATTGGAAGCCAGCAGGTTTATTATGACAAGTTTTCTACTGAGATATTTTTTGAATTTCTTTTGCTATCAAGGTTCCCTTCAGGGAATCCACGTATGCAGTCTTGATAACTCATAGGAGCCACTGGCAAGTGGGGATATCTATTTGTCATCAGTTTTAAAAAAATCTTAGATACAATATATTGCATTTGTTAGATGTAAGCTCCCCTACATTAAATCATGCCAAATTCGGTGATATCCTTCAGGATGAATTTCTCACTTGTTTTCCTTTCTCAGACATTAATGGCACCTCCCAAAAATCTAAATCAGTCCCATGACCATGCAAGGTGAAATCAATATACTGGTTTGAGATTAGTTTGGTATTTTTTCCGGTAATTAATCTGAATAAAATTTTGCTTTATTTGGTTTATAGGAATGACAGTAATAATAAAGAACGTACAATGGATGTTGTCCCTTTCTCTGCCGAAAAGAATGATGGTACTCTTGCTTTAGTTAAGCCAGGTAATGAGAAGATCAAATCAACCCCGGCAGGGGAGTATCTTACTTCTGCTCTGAATGACTTTGACCTGGAACAATATGACGGTCTTGCTGCTATTTCCGATGGAGCAAACAAGCTACTAATGCTGGTATGATTGGTGTCGGTTCTGAATCTTGAAAAATCAATTCAGATAGTTTTTCGGGTTGTTGCCAATACTTAATTTATTCCAATTGCCGTGGATCACTCTCTCAAATGTACGAGAAGATATTAAACCACATAAAAGGCAAATGTGGTGATGTACCTGGTCCTAGATCTGCTATGCTTTTTCTTATCCTTCAAGATTTTCTGACTGTTAGAAGATATAATCATTATCTATATCTATATCCTCTGTCATCAACGTTTCCTTAAAGGCTCCAGCATGTATGTTTTCTCAAATGAAATGGTAAGGCGTATCTCTGGTGTATTGGTTTGCTTTTGAGCTCTGTTTGGACCAAACACAAGGATTAGGATTTGAAACAACAGTCCAACTTCCAACTCTTGGTATAGGATAGCAGTAATTCTGTTCTTTGCTGGTTTTATTTAGAGTTTCCTTCCTTCATGGAATTTCTATTTAACTTCTATTTGAATGTGATTTGAGTGGTGAAGGTTTTGGCTGCGGTCATTAAAGCCGGTGCTTCTCGAGAACATGAAATACTTGCTGAAATAAGAGATGCTGTTTTTTCATTCATCCGTAAAATGGAGCCACATAGAGTGATGGACACCATGCTTGTTTCCCGTGTTAGAATTTTGTATATAAGATCATTGCTGGCTAGGTCACCTGAGCTGCAATCTGTCAAGGTAATAGTAATCATTAAATTATTTATCTAGGCACTGTTGTTTGTGCCTGCCCCTCAGTTAGATTGTAAAAGTAATCCTTAATTTTTTTAGGTTCCTCTGGTTGAGAGATTTTTAGAGAAACCTACCACTGGACGCAGCAGAAGCTCCAGCAGAGGCAGCAGCCCTGGAAGATCTCCTGTGCGTTATGATCCCAGCATTAAGAATGCTCTAATTGATGAACATATGCATGGTTTCAGAGTAAATCTTAAGCCAGAAAAGAAGTCGAAATTATCCTCTGTTGTTCTGAAGATACGCGGAATTGATCAGGTGTGTATGGCAGAAAATATTTCATACTCAGTTTCGTTGATGGTAATTTCAAATGATGGCAAGTTAGAAACTGTGTTTTTCACTGTTTATTTGTTAGTCCATCCTAAGGTGATTGAATTTCAAACAAGTATTTTGGCTATTAGCTAATTCCCTGAAATGCCCTTCTATTTAAGGTGGTGTTTGATATATGTGCATCACAATACAGGATGAAATCTGATGAAGTTGATCTCTTCGTATACATCATGTACCTGTGTTCTCTAATTTTTGGGCCTCATTGTAGTTCTAGTTGCTTCAAGTAATTGGGACACATAATCACATTTTCATTTTCCTCAAACCATATGTGACAAAATGGAAGTGTTGAAATGTTAAATGGCCTAAATACCATCTATTATTTATGATAGAATTATAGTACCTCAATTCAAAAAAGAGGGAAAAAAGTTGTTTCGGTTAAGGGTTGGGTCATATTTCATCCATAACAACAATGAAACTGCTATATGAGGAATACTGCCTCAAGACTTTTTTGCAGCCCATGTGAGGAGAAGAAAAGAAAAAGGAGTTGAACTAGAACACATGGACTTAGGGATAGTTCGGTGGGTAAATTTCTGTGAAATGTAGCATTACTCTTGTAAAACAAACAAAAATACCAGGTAGAAAATACTTAATTTATTAGGGAGTGCTTATGAAGATCTCCCTCACATATAAATCTTGGTCTAGCTTCTTTAAATGTATGAATAAGAAGCCTGCCTAGGTCACTATGTAGAAGCAGAGTATATGTGATTTTTTCAGCTTTACTCGACACCTTTCTGTGTCTTCTATGTCTTGAGAACAGAAAATGATTTGATCCTAGCATGACAGTTTGCAGTTCTGGCATTTTGTTTTGTTTTGTTCGTGACTTGTAATGTTAATTTCACTCTTGAAATATTGTCTGACATGTAATCAGCGGATGAGTGACTTTGTAATCAATTCTAAACTTTTAGACCTGAAGGAGTAGTGCTTATTTGTAACACACAGAACTGAAATGTACAGGAATCTTGGAGACAACACGTTACGGGTGCTAAGCTCAGGGAAATAACTGATGACGCAAAAGCATTTGCCACCGGGAACAAGGCTCTTGCTGCCCTTTTTGTTCATACTCCTGCTGGAGAGCTGCAGCGTCAAATCAGATCTTGGCTTGCAATGAGCTTTGACTTTCTTTCTGTGAGTGGCATGGATGCTGTAGGTGGGGTGACGGGTCAGTTGGAGCTTCTTTCTACCGCAATAATGGATGGTTGGATGGCTGGGCTTGGTGCTGCAATGCCTCCCATTACAGATGCACTTGGACAACTGTTAGCAGAGTATGCAAAGAGGGTTTATAATTCCCAACTGCAGCACCTCAAGGTAAGCCACCTTTCATCAAGTAGTTTACAAAGTGCCACCCCCAATTACTAGATCTTTTTCATTACAGATCTAGGTCATTGATTGTTATGGTGTGATGCTGTATTTAAAAGTAGTTATAGTTCCTATATTAGTATTATTGATATTTGCTAAACTTATATATTTACATCATCAGGACATTGCTGGAACATTAGCAACTGAGGCGGCAGAAGACTCATCACAAGTAGCAAAACTGCGTTCAGCTCTGGAATCTGTTGATCACAAGAGAAGAAAGGTAACCTAATCATTTGGCTCGGCAAATGTCTGTCAAGCTTCCATGTTTGCTTTTCTAATCATTTGTTTGATATTGTGATCAGATTCTGCAGCAGATGAAAGATGATGGTGCATTATTAACATTAGAAGATGGTGGTTCACCTATCCGGAATCCATCTTCTGCAGCGGAGGATGCCCGACTTGCATCTTTAATTGCTCTTGATGGCATTCTGAAGCAAATCAAGGTTTGTATCTTTATTTTTATTTTCTTTTGGTTGGCTACTTAATATTAATGCACTTTTGAGTAAGTAAATGTTAATGTGACAGGATATAATGAGACAATCTTCGGTTAATATAATGAGTAGAAGTAAGAAGAAAGCATTGGTGTCATCATTAGATGGTCTTTCAGGACAAATGTCTTCTCTGTTAGAGATTGACCATCCATGTGCACAGAGACACATTGCAGATGCTTCCCGTGTTGTAGAGGTAATATTATATCCTCTGTCAAGTGTTTGCAAGAGTAATAATCTGAGTGTTATATGCATAAACAAATATTTTGATTGCAGTCGATTGTTGAAGAAGATGAGGTAGTTTCAGCAGGCGGCGGCGGTGAAAGTGAAACTGAGGTGGCACAGTGGAACGTGTTGCAGTTTAATACAGGATCTACAACTCCTTTCATCATTAAATGTGGAGCGAATTCGCATTCAGAGCTGGTGATCAAAGCAGATGATCGGGTGCAAGAACCAAAAGGTGGGGGTGAGATTGTGCGGGTGGTTCCAAGGCCTACGGTTTTAGAGAAGATGAGTTTGGAGGAGATAAAAGAGGTGTTTGGTAAACTACCAGAAGCGTTAAGCCTGCTTGCCCTGGCTCGAACCGCAGATGGAACAAGGGCTCGATACTCCAGATTATACAGGACCCTAGCCATGAAGGTTCCAGCACTTAGGGAGGTTGTTGGTGAGCTCGAGAAAGGTGGTGGCCTTAAAGATGTCGTCAAGTCCTAACTAACTCTTATATAACATGTTTGTTTATATCCTTCTTCTCTACAGTCAAAGCAACTCAACTCAACGCTATTATGTGTGGTTTCAGAAATCTCTCTCTTCTCAACATGCATTTCTTCTAGTCATCGATCCCTTTGGTTGTGACAAAACCCACGTCAATCAAACTATCGCTGTTAAAACAAGTGAGATCTGAATCAAAAGGACCGGTTACATTTTGGTATAAGTAGGTCTGTTTGGCTTGGTGACTTATTCATACAAGTGTAAATGATGCAAGTCGAACTCCCATTCTCCAGGCTCAAACTCTTCGGTAGTTAAAAATCCAAACACAACAGCAATAATCTAAACTCCAACTTATCAATATGAAAGCTAAGCATATTTTCTAGAGAGCACAATTTTGATATTTAGTACAACATTAAACATAGCTACTAAATTTTGCACCTATAACTATGGATTTATGTATGGTCATTGTTTAGGTGACTATTGCGAGATTAATAGATTTTACAGTAACAAATATTTGTAGATTCTGAGATTAACAAATTTTCTAAAAATGAAGACTAAATAAAATGGAAGTTTCTTTCAGGTTGGAAAACTTGAGCTTCAGGTAGACATTAAGTTTTTGCAAGTTTAAACATAACAAACTATTTTGCAAGTCAATACAATATACGTTTATTACCAAATGTGCTAAATAGCAAACCGATGGTAATTGGTATGATCGATTCATTTACTGATCATTGTTAGGATACCGTAGTTTATATCGACATAATTACTGATATAAAAAATGAAAAGAAATCTGACTGAACATTTAAATTTATAATGGGAAAGACATAGTATACATTTTTAGCAGTGAACATCGCCGTTATGATCCATTCACTTAGGGGGCGTTTGGTTCGTAGAATGAAATTCGATGGAATTGAAATTCATCAAATGAATTTGACTTTGAAGGAATGAAATGAAATTTGATGGAATTTGACTATGCCTTGTGATTGCGTTTGATTGCATGAAATTGGAATGGAATTCTTAACGAATTAGAATTTTTTTGTTTGGTTCACGGAATTCAACTTTGGAATCAGAATTAAATATCAACAAATGTCTTTTTATGATTTTTGAATAAAGGAATTGGACTAGTGATATCGATAGCTAGTTATTTTGAATTGATTCCTTGATTACTTTTGTTGTCTATCGATCTCGTATAGATAGAGAAATTACGAGAGAGAGAGAGAGAGAGAGAGCGCGTGTGTGTTAGCGAGAGCGTACCAGATGGAGATCGAACTAGAGATCAATTTGTCACACCCCGCTAAAGCGGAAACACGAGGTATGACAGGTAGAGTCTCGTAGCAATAGAGTATAAAGAAACACAACCATACAATTAAAATTTTAATTACACCATTAACCAAAGTTTACAATTCCAAAGACAAGTTTGTAAATTAAACACAAAAAGAAATTTAAAGGTGATAGTTGTGACACGG